CATCGTGTTAAGGTATTGCCCACCACAGTTCAGAAACACTTTTCTTGTTAGAATGTTCCTCAAACTGTGGTTCTCAAGGAACCTTGCGCATTGGATCTCTTAAAGGACGATGTTTGGTTTGTTGGATAAAAGTGTTTGTCTATTTTCCTACCAAGTTTTATGGCTTTAACTGTTTTCGTTTGAGTTACCCTCGCAGGGAGGAAACGGATCGGAAAATTGGCATGGATACAAGACTGTAATAGATTTGTGTGTTATCATACAAATGTCGTTAGTACGATTTGAAAATTTAATTCCAGACTGAATTGAACTAAGTTCTAAGTTCTTTCGTCTGTTTTAACTGATGAATAAAACTGTGCCCTGTCAGTGGGTAAAAACTGATTTTATCTATCTAAGACCCCTTCCTTGTTTTTTTCTCCTTATCTAAGGCATTTCACTTGAAACAATTTAACATGTCCATCAATTAAGAAGACTGACTGGATGATACTGACGCTTCAATGAGTTCATTTGGGTTTGGCTCGTGTAAAATGATACAAATTCCAGCCGTTTCTTTTTCTAATACTGTTCTAGGTGAGGTGGAGAGGGCAGATGAGTGAGAGGGGAACGTTTGTATCGTTTTATATGACTGCTCAATTTTTTCAAATCATCCTCTATAATATCAATCACTTAATCTCTGATATCCATGCAAAGGGTTTATTTCGCCTTGATGTCTGTAAAATGGACCAATATTCCCTGCACTTTTTCATATATGAATTGGCATGTAATAAGATATGAATGTCCCGTTCCCTCTATTACCATTGTTACTAAGGTTTCAGTACTCTGCCGTTTCCTGCTTCTACTCTAATGTACTACACAAGATTAGATATCTAACATTTCTGGATGGTGGCAAGGCGCATATCACATTTGTATGCTATTTTTGTTTACCATCATATTAGTTGTTTTGTCTAGCATTGACTGAGGATATTTATGGTTTATTTTTACCGGACAGTATCGATTCACTTCTTGGTCATTAAGGCCATCAATAACTGAGATTGTTAGATGCCTTGTCTTCCCGTTCTCAGTGTGAACTATTCAAATCTGGGCTGACACTTTGCTTCTGCCTATGTTCATCCATCACATCCATAACAACCATACAAACTGACTACATCAAACAGCAGATCGAGCTAATTGTCTTACACGTATTATATTCTGTGAGGTACTTACGTTGGTATCATTCCAAAGGGTCGGAAACTCCTTGACCAGAGTTGGGAAACAAATTTGTACCACGAAAATAAAATTCTTATTTAACGGGGTGATTATATTGCGTTCATGTCAAAAAAACGAGCGTCTATTATGATGCGTTTTGAGTGTTTCAAAACACTGAATGCAGTGAAAGCTAACTGAAAATTCACCTTTTCCATCGGACTGTTCCATACCGTTAGTCAGTCAGCTTTGAGTATTCTCGCAATATCTGTGGGCAGAGTATGAAATATCACCTGTTAGTGGTTGACTCGTCCTTCCCGTTCCCGATCGATACTTTGTGCACAAAGTTCCTAACTCACGGTCAATCGCAATACTCTACAACTTTTTTTAACAAGTGGCACCGGTACCTGATGCTTTTAACAACACATGGAAGCTAGTCAATAAAACAAACGCGTTTCTTTCTGGGCTTCCATACTGAAACGTTTTATTTACACCGTATAGGTAAGATTAATGCAGTCTGTCATTCCGGTAGCCACTGGAGAAGCAGTACAAATAACCCCGGATGTGCACTTTAACTTCCCTTCGCATAAGGACTATTTTATTTGAAACCTGCGTGTTTTAGTTTGATGAGTTTATGACTGACACAAATCTATTGTATTTTTCTCTCTGGTAATGTTGAGAATGACTGAAATCCAATCTTTTGTACCTCGGTTGCTTTTCCTGAAGGCCTTCAAATAGATTTTTTTTTAATTTCGACTGGCCATCTGTTGGATTTGATGTTAAAACAACATCGTCATATGAGCAAGCTCAGCATACATTCGATAAGTAGTCGGATTTGCAGCCCGAATTGCAAAAATGTCACCACCGCACAGAGGAGCGCAGTATCTAACGGGTCTTAACAAACACAAAATCATCTTTCCGGTACTCTTTGTCGATCATCACAAAGAGACAAGGTACTAATACAAGTTTTAACTGCATAGTTAATATAAGCTATATGATACATATCGTGGAAGGAGATATTTTGTCAATCTTTCGTCTTCAACGTTCCAGAAGCTTCAAAGGATATTTTGCTTGACCGTGCAGGGACACTTCAAGAAGTTTTGATTTCCATCAAACTCATTTGAAAGCCAACGAAACGGTTCGGTACGAAAATTAACATGCCACTAGATTTGGCTTCACTTGGCATGAACCAGAAAGAAGTGATGCATAATTCGGCTTTTATATGAGGATTTATAGAGAAAAAGTAAGCATTCAAAAACGTTTTGGCCCTTCTAATCACAAATACATTCCTAACAGATATAAATTAAACAACATGTAACTGTGTTGTCAAGGGATTGTTTTCCTGATTTCGAGACGACCATGATGATTTTGGAGAATCCGATGATCTACATCTTTGTTTGGGTTAAAACAAATTAAAAGTCACTCTACAATTGATTTCTCACAAAATGTCCATGTATATTTTTTCTTATGCGGATGGAATATTTCAAACAATACACTTTGGATGCATTACTAAAGTTCATCTTGTTTGAGCGAGCTGAGCTTTTGATTTAAATTTAACTGGTGGAGTCAGCCAATCAGCTGTCCCAAGCTGTGAAGAAATAGGGAAGAATATTTTCTGCGATTCTGGGACTTGTGTATTAGTCTGAGGAACAGTTCAATGGCTTTTTCCAGGATCCGCAATGAGAACGTATTCGACTCATGTGGTTCAGAGACCTTAAATGATTGGTCAGAATCGACACTTTAAAATTGTTCAAGATGTGACTTCCAGGAACTCTCGGGCTCTGATCTCTTTGTATATGTCTAGACAGTGAACTTTCTAATTATTTCGAAATATTCACCAATGGTCAGGTTTGGTAAATGAGACCGATATGAATCCAATGGAAATTACTTAAAAAATATGAGTAAAACTGACAGATGTGATCAAAGGATGTTGCCAGCAGATTTCAAGGACTAAACTAAGAAACTCGTGAATGATCGAGGTAAACAGTGAATTCTTTAGTGCAAAACGAAGAAAATTAGCTAAACGCCACTAATAGTACAATGAATACTGGTAATCTTTTTAACAGAAACCGGATATGAGACGTATTAAGGATTTGAAATGATAGTATGATGAATTCGTTGTGTAAATAAACCATGAAATGAATAAACGGAAAGAACTGTACAGTTTTCTCGACATGGCTGGATCTCATCAGCAGGGCGCCAACCCATCAACCCTGTTGGGAATCGAACGCGATATGTCATAGGTCGAAAGCAAGCATACTTCCTCTTCGGACACCAAACAGCTGACCGAACCGCTTTACATTTTTCCCATCGCATCGCATCTCGTTTATCTCAGCCCTGGCCTCCTCTATCGTCTGCTATAACCCTATGTATTGTGTATATTCAAAATGGGAATTGGTCTGATCGTCTATCCGGTGGCCGAGTGGGTAGTACATTTGCGTTCTATCCCCAGTTGGGTCGACGGATTAGCACTGCTGATGAAACCCAACAAGGGCAAACTAACTGTCCAGTTATTCCTCACTTTTCAGCTCACGCCTCATCTACACGACGACGAATTCGTCATAGAAATCGGATAATTTATTTTTCTCAATGTTATGATATACTTAGATGTTCACTTTCACGTGAAGGTGTGCAAATGTCGTTCTATCCACTTCTCCGTCACGGCCCTCGCTCGACTTATCAAGCGATAAATGGAGTGAATAATTAGGAGCACAATCGACTATTGACACTCACTGTTGGAGAGACAGCGTGAATTCCTCGAGGAACTTATTGCTCCTGTTAACAAATAGTCATCACAAACCAATGGAATGGACAAAAGCATGACCATTTTATTCATGGATAGATGCATCTTGTTGACCAACACCATGACAACGTGATATATGCTACATGTGTAAAAGAAGTGTCAGTCTCGGTAAGTCTGAACCTAGTGACATTTTTACTTGTACCCTACTTCAACCTATTGTCATTTCTGTCTTAATGTACAGTTAAACAAGTTCATCAATCATACTACAAACCTCGTCAGCGCAACCAATTGATCACCTGTTGCACCTACTGACCACATCCTCATCACGACCTCTCACAACATTTAG